GTTTCTGTGAAGCACGATAAATCAAAGTGCAATATAACAAGGTGTGCGCGTTATGTGCTGTGTCTGATTTATACTAAGTGTTCAATAAATAATAGTTGCTATGATTAATACATAAGGGCCTAGTGGGTCAAGGTAAAACTGGTTTGAAATAACAATAACAACAATTAGGATTGCTATGTTTTTGTTTTTGAGATGGAGTCTCAGTCTGCTACCCAGGCTAGAGTGCAGTGGCACGATCTTGGCTCATTGCAAACTCCATCTCCCAGGTTCAAGCAATTCTCCTGCCTCGGCCTCCTGAGTAGCTGGGATTATAGGTGCCCACCACTACACCTGGCTAATTTTTGTATTTTTAGTAGAGACAGGGCTTCACCATGGTGGCCACGCTGGTCTCAAACTCCTGACCTCAGGTGATCCGTCCCCTTCGCCCTCCCAAAGTGCCAGGATTACAGACATGAGCCACCACACCTGGCCAGGAGTGCTACATTTTCAGTATTTTTTATGTGAAAAGTACTATTATGTGTCTATCTGTTGTCTTTTACTGTGTAAGGAGACATCCCAGAATGTAAAACAACAATTGTCAGAATTATTACCTCTGATAATTCAGGGTGTTGAATTAGACAGGAGGTCTTGCCTAGGGTTCCTCCTATGGTTACAGTACTGTCTGAGGCTGGGGTCATTTCATTTTCATTTTTATTTTTTGAGATGGAGTCTTGCTCGGTCACCCAGGCTGGAGTGCAGTGGCTTGATCATGGCTCACTGCAACCTCTGCTTCCTGGGTTTAAGCAATTCTGCCTCAGCCTCTCGAGTAGCTGGGATTATAGGCACGCACCACTACCTGGGGTCATTTCAAAAGCTTTCTCAGTCCCGTGTCTTGTATTTAGGCTGGGAAGACTCGAATGGCTGAGGGCTGGAACAGACAGGACATCTCACAGTATAACTGTGGTCTCTCCATGTAATCCCTCCAGCATGGTGACTTGGAGGCAGCTGGGCTTATAAGGCTGACTCTGTGCTCCAATGGCCCATATTCCCAGAGAGATCCAGGTGGGAGCTGCATCACCTTTTCTGACGCAGCCTCAGCAGTCATGTAGGTCTCTTCCACCCCATTCTACTCCTTAGAAGTGAGTCAGGGCCAGACGTGGTGGTTCACGCCTGTAATCCCAGCACTTTGGGAGGCTGAGGTGGGTGGATCGTCCGAGGTCAGGAGTTGGAGACCAGTCTGGCCAACATGATGAAACATCATCTCTACTAAAAAATACAAAAATTAGCTGGGAGTAGTGGTAGACACCTGTAATTCCAGCTACTTGGGACCCTGAGACGGGAGAATCGCTTGAACCCGGGAGGTAGAAGTTGCAGTGAGCTGAGACCGCGCCATTGCACTCCAGCCTGGGCAACAAGAGCATTACTCCGTCTCGGGGGAAAAAAAAAATCAACTGGTGTGGTGGTGAGCACCTATGGTCCCAGCTAGTCAGGAGGTTAAGGTGGGAGGATCACCAGAGCCCAGGAGGTCGAGGCTACAGTGAGCCGTGATTGCATCACTGCACTCCAGCCTGGGAAACAGAATGAGATCCTGTCTCAAAAGAAAAGGAAGTGAGTCACGAAAGCCATACCATGTTCAAGATGAGGAGGAATTAGACTCCACTCCATGAGGGGTGTCAAAGAATTTGTAAACATGGGCTGGGAGCAGTGGCTCACGCCTGTAGTCCCAGCACTTTGGGAGGTCAAGGCAGGCAGATCACAAGGTCAGGAGTTTGAGAACAGCCTGACCAACATGGTGACACTCCCGTCTGTACTAAAAATACAAAAGTTAGCTGGGCATGCTGGCAGGCGCTTGCCTGCAGTCCCAGCTACTCGGGAGGCTGAGGCAGGAGAATCGCTTGAACCCAAGAGGCGGAGGTTGTGGCGAGCCGAGATCGTGCCACTGCACTCCAGCCTGGGCGACAAAGCGAGACTGTCTCAAAAAAAAAAAAAAGAAAAAAGAAAAAGAAATTAGCAGACATGTTTTAGAACCACTGCATGTGTATGATCATAGTTCATTCTTTTAGTGTTACCAAAGCAGCAGGGTTCAGCCTAGACCCAGCTGCTGGCTGCACAGAAAGCCAATCATTGAGACAATGATTATTGCCAAGGAAGATTTTAATTGGGTGCTGCAGCTGAGGAGATTGGGAGATCAGTCTCAAATCCATCTCCCTGACTACTAAAATGAGGAGTTGAAACAGCAGGGAAGAAATGCAACTATGTGTGGGAAAACAGGAACTCAGGAGGAGGGGTAAGGAAGCAATCATGATGAATGAGGGGTCTGGAGTCTCATTATCAGGATGCTATGACCTGATGAGTTTCAGTTCTTTGATAATCTTTGAGAGGCCTGGGGATCCTTTCCTGAGGAAAAAACTCAGGTAAGATAAATGTAAGTTTCAAGCTGTATGATCAAAAGTGTCAATTTCTTTTTGTTTGTTTGTTTGTTTGAGACAGAGTCTTGCTCTGTCACCCAGGCTGGAGTGCAGTGGCATGATTTCAGCTCACTGCAGCCTCTGCTTCCCAGGTTCAAGGGATTCTCCTACCTCGGCCTCCTGTGTAGCTGGGATTACAGGCTCCTACCACCATGCCCAGCTATTGTTTGTATTTTTGGTAGAGACGGGATTTCACCATGTTTTCCAGGCTGGTCTTGAACTCCTGACCTAAGGTAATCTGCCCGCCCCGGCCTCCCACATTGCTGGGATTACAAGTGTGAGCCACCCACCCAACTAGGACTTGTTTTCTTAATCCCTATGCTATATAAATTATACTAGACAGAAATATAAAGGCGATTTGTTTTGTTGTTTGTTGTGTTCTGTTTTGAGAGGTAGTGTTGCTCTGTCTCCCAGGCTGGAGTGCAGAAGCACAGTCTCGGGTCACTGCAACCTCTGCCACCCAGGTTCAAGTGATTCTCCTGCCTCAGGTTCGCAAGTAGCTGGGAGTACAGGAAACCACCACCATACTCGACTAATTTTTTTATTTTTAGTAGAGACGGGGTTTCACCATGTTAGCAGGCAGTTCTCAAACTCCTGACCTCGGGTGATCTGCTCGCCCCGGGCTCCTAAAGTGCTGTGATTACAGGCATGGGCTGCTGTGTCTGGCCGGGATTTGTTAATAAGCACTTTTTTTTTTGAGACGGAGTCTCTTTCTGTCGCCCAAGCTGGAGTACAGTGGCACCATCTCGGCTCACTGCAACCTCCGCCTCCTGGGTTCACGTCATTCTCCTGCCTCAGCCTCCCGAGTAGCTGGGACTACAGGCGTCTGCCACCACACCTGGCTAATTTTTTGTATGTTTTAGTAGAGATGGGGTTTCACCGTGTTAGCCAGGATGGTCTCGATCTCCTGACCTCGTGATCCACCCCACCCTTGGCTCCTCAAGTGCTGGGCATTACAGGCATGAGCCCCACCGCGGCCCTGCCTTTTTTTTGTTTTTTTTTGAGGCAACGGATTTTCACTCTTATTGCCCAGCTGAATTGCAGTGTGCCACGATTTCGGCTTCACTGCCACCTCTGCCTCCCAAGGTTCAAGTTGATTTCTCCTGCCTCAGCCTCCTGACGTAGTTGGGATTTCGAGGCGCCTGCCACCCCGCCCAGCCTAATTTTTTGTATTTTAGTAGAGACAGGGTTTCACTATGTTGGCCAGGCTGGCCTTTTCCTTTTTTTTTTTTTGATTAGGGAACACTTGAGCCAGGCTGGATCTAAAAGACTCCAGGCTGAAGCAGCCTGGGAATATAGGCACCATTCCACCACACCCAGCTAATTTTCTTGTATATTTACTAAGGACGGGATTTCCCCATGTTAGCCAGGCTAGGTCTACGACACTCCTGACTTTCAGGTCATTTTCTGGCCCTCTTTGCCG